CCAGGGCTCATTGTTTCCAGCTTTTGGCATTCCTTACCTTGAACTTTCAAAATCCATCAAGACAGGAGGCTTCTCCCCCTCTCCTTAAATTTTCGTTTTACAAAACACTCATCAGTTTGCTATTCCAGCTCTTAAAATTAACTCTGTTACACTTGACACTGCTGAGTGCTTTCAATAGTATAAAAACAGGGAGTTTAATAGTATAGGAACGCTCCCCCTCTGAGCTTTGCCCTGGGAAAGAACTGGGTACCTGGGTTTAAAACCTGTGAGAAGCTGGGTCATTTTTATTTTGTCTCTAGCTGCCAATTAGCAATGCCATTAATCCACTGCCTAGGAGAAGTGCATGATTAAAATAGACAGTGCCACTGACCACTGGCAGGACAATATGCAGAAGGCTGTGCTGTAGCTGCCTGTCATTGTGCTGCTGTAGTTAGAGCTCGGTCTCGTTTTCCAAGGGGAAGTAAGGATTTCTTAATTTCTTTGCATCCTGGTGTAAAAGCAGACACATCCAGGCTTTGACCATTGCATTGTGCCCTGGGCAGGGAGCCTGCAGCAGACCCTGGGATTGCTGATGCACCACCTGCCAGCCGTATCAGACAGGTTTGGTTAGAGAACACGTTGTGTCTGCAGTCACTGCAAATGTCCTTCGCTGCGTTCGCCCACAGAGCCGTCCAAGGCTCCTTGGGGGCGGCAGATTTGAATTTTGCCTCCTCAAGGATGAGTATCTGAAGCTGGGCCAAAGCTTTGTTTCCTGCTGGTGAGAAGAGAGGGAATGGGGGAAGAGGCGTGGGAGGGCTGGAGGGGTCAGGCTCGATGTGCTGCTCCGGGGGCAGCAGGAAGGGGCTGGTGGTGCAGGGCTGCTGCCAGGAAGGGCTAACCTCTAGCTGGAGACCACAAACCCTTGGTGGCAGTGGCCAGCGTGGTTTTCCAAGGCCACAGATAAAATAAGCAATGACCTAGGACAGCAGACAGTGGAGGAGACAGAGGGGCACAGTCCTGCTGCCCGTTCCCTGGTGTGTCGGACAGAAGGAATTTTGTTCTGTAGTAGGAATTACACTCTTGTTTGCTTGCTTAAGAAAAAGATGACCAGTGCTTTAATTTACACCCCACCTGGGGATCAAATATCTCAGTAAGACCAAAGGGTTCTTTTCCCCCAGATCTCACTTTTGAGGGAAAGAAATTTCCATGACAGAGGATGAAATACTAGGAATACTTTTCTTAGGTGGATCTTCCAGATTCTGGTTTGTAGCCACGCTAATTTGTGGGTGAAGGAAATATTTTGGTACTGAAAACTTGCCAAAGAGCTGTTTAACAGGGAATTACAGTTTAATTAGCACTTATGAGACATTAAGAATAATTGTATTCAATTTGGCCACTCAGGATAAGGTGTGATTCAGGATCAGCTGGTTGGTACTCTGAAAAAAAAAAAAAAAAGAAAAAGAAAATGGAAAACGAAAGAAATATTGCTGTGTGGACTGGTGAATATGTGCCATTCACTTTGTATTCTTAGGCAGAAGCTTTTGCGGTGGCTTTTCTTCTTTTGTTTTTCCACACAAGGTGCTGTACTGGAGTGGGAAAAAGTGGAAGAAACTTGTATTAACTGGAGGGAAATGGTTTGACTTCAAGTTCATTATTTTGTAGTGAGCTGGATTACAGTTTATCCCTGCTCTCTCTTTCTCTGGGATTTTTTTTAATTATTATTTATTTAGGAAATGTGCCAAAACTTTAAAAAAATCCTTTAGTTATTTATGCTTTGCACAGGAATGAGAAAGTCTGACACTTTTAGCAAGCATGTGAATTAGAAAGGCAAGGGAGCACAGGGTGAAATTTTGTGTGGAGGCTTTTGTATAATGGATAGCCATCAACACCCCTTGAATATTTCTTTTTTTCTTCACGGCAGAGTTCATTGTGCTCCTTGAGCGCTGTAGGTGAAAACAAAGGCAGTGCCACTACTAAATGAGTGCAGTTTCAAAGGCTGGCTGAGAAAAGAGAAAACAAACAACACGCAATTTAAACGCCTGTTTGTATGCAAGCTGCCGCACAGGCTAATACACACACCAGTATGATGTAAGGTAGTGGAGATGACCTGATTAGCAAAGCCCTTGCAACGAGCTGAGGAGATCCCTGCTGCACCAGGGCTCCCTCCTTGGAGACCTGCGACTGCTCCCAGCTGAAGGAAACCTTTCCCCAGCTGCCAGAGGGTTTCTGAAAATGGCAGTAGCAGTGCTCCTTGTGTGTGCCTGGAGGTGAGGGGAAGCAGGAAGAGCAAACAGCCGGCACAGCTCCGTAGAATAGCTGGGCTGTTGTGAAGGATGCAGCGTGAGTTGCTCTCGGGCTTTGTGAGCTCCGTGTGCCGGAGTTGCGGAGCGCTGTGCGCGTCTGGGAGGCTGCGCTTCAGCAAACAGCTCGCACCGTTTGCTCGTGCTGTTCATCCTGCTGCTTGAAAGCCGTCACTCAGTGCTAGGGCAAGATAAAGTAAGTGACAGTCCCGTTTGAGGGCTCTTGCAGCCTTGTTCTCACGTGTGCTGGGCAGGCAGAGGTCCACAGCTGTGAAGGGGAGGCCGTGGTGCTCAGCGCTAACTGCACTCAAGTGTTAATTATTCCAAGTCAGAGAAATAGAGACAGAAATCTATATATGTAAGAAGACACATAAGATCCAAGACTTTCTCTCCCTCCCGTGAGTACATACAAATATACACAACTGGTATGTGGGTTTTGGTTATTTTGTGCGTTCCTGTGCCAGGAGAGTGCGCAAGCTTGTGGCAGTGACCCGGGGTTTGGGTGAGGAGCACAGGGCACTCTTTCTGGCTCTGCCGTAGCTACTTGTGTGGCCGAGTGTATTAAGTCCTGCTCCTGAAGCCAGCAAACCATTTATTCGGGCTTCATTCTCAGACTTGCTGAATACCCCAAAAGGCTGCTTTTATTGGAGGGAACTGCCATTCCTTAGCTCTCAAAGTGGGCTTTCCATAAATCACCAGCACGTGCTTTCCATGGGGAGATGGGTCTGGGACCTCAGCCCACGGAGCTGCCAGAGCTCCTTCCCTTCTGCTCTTCCTCCCTTCTGGTCAGCCATTCCACCAAAGGTAGATCCTCCTGGTCAGGAAGCTGCTGGCTGTGCCAGCCACCACACCTTAGGCTCGGCACCAGCATGGGATGGCTTCCCATCGCTTCTCCTGCTGCCGTGGTGGGACAGGCCCTCTCCTGCTTTTCTTGACCTCTTTCTGCCCCTGACCACCAAGTGGGGCCAGGTCATGGTTGTGCTCTCAGTCTGGGCTGCTTTTTCCTTTTTTTTAAAACAATAAATGCATCTTTGTGCTGACAAAAATATTAATTATCTCCTATAAATGACGCACTCAAACATTTCATGGTTGCAGACTGTTTGGATGGCGGTGCCTGTGCTGACACAAGCCTGCTGTGATCTGATCCAGCAGCGTCCTTGCTCTGGATGGGCTTTGCCGTAATAGTACTTTCATTCCTTAGCCCCCATTAGTGCCTTGATGAATAGTGGAAGATGTTTCAACAATGTGATGATTAAAAAGCAGCATCTTACCGTTTCTTGGTCTCTGGTGCCTTTGTCCTGTTCATTATGTTTTGCCTGGGAGTAGCAGCAGTGATTTAGAGTTGCAACATCAACATCAGTCTCTGAACCTTGTGTTTTCTGGGAAGGGGAAGAGAGAAGATGAAGGAGGAAGTCTAAGTAGTAGGGTTTTTTTTCTTCTGACATTTCCAGGCTGGCTGTTTGAAACTGTGATGCCTCACAGTGATTAGATACATTTACTCATAACTCTGACATTGAGTTCCTGGACAGGGACCCCCTGGCAGCTGCTCTGGAGCACACCTGGGCAGGGTTCGGGGACACCAGCCAGGCCCAGGGCACTCATTTGTGCTCCAGGTCCACTGCTGTCACTGGCACTCGTGCTAATGGCCTTAGTACAGAGGTCAAAGACTGCTTAGATATGAAGGCTGAATCACCTCCTTGTTAAACCCCTCAGCAGGATCAAGGCTTAGAGAAGCAGACACGTGGGCTTGCCTTCTGGCTGACACTGTGGATGGAGGCTGTGACTCTGAGATGGACCTTTTGGCAGGTTCGACCAACCCCCAAGGCATCAAAATGGGGGTGTCTGGTGATTAAAACACCCCTGCGCTGACACCGCTCTGTGAAAAAACCTTGTTTCGTTCATTTCCTTTAAAGGCTTGCTGATCCCACAAGCTCTTGATGGTTAGAGGAGGTTTATCCTGTCACCTGAGGATCACAGAAATCGGCAGTGAGCCCGTCAGTCTTACCAGGCAGATGTGAAAGATCTTCAGCTGCGCGCATTTCACTTGCAAATATAAATAATCCAGCAGTGTAGGTCTCGCTGCAGCCCTGTTTGCCTTGGCAGCGTCCCACTGGCGTGAATCAGAAGGTGGGAGCAAAAAGCACTGGAAGGCTCATCCAGAGACTGGTCTCCCCTCCGTCAGGGAACCTGTCCGTGCAGGCAGGGTGATTTGGAGATTACTGGCACAGCCCACAGGCCCGGCTTCACTGGGTCCCTGCGTTTTGAACAATCCTGCCTTGTTCCCACACGCTGTGCCTTTGGGAGCCCTGCCTGTCAGGGCACTGGGCAGGAGAGACCTGCAGGGAGCAGCTGTGGCTGTGTCCTTCGCTGCCTTGAGAGCAAGGGAGCTCCTGTGCTTCAAGCTGAGAAGCAGGAGGTCAGTTCTTAAGCCTGCTGCATCTCTGCAGCTTTTGGGAGGTCTCTGGATCACTCCGTGCCCGAGTTTCTAAAATAGGGATAGAAATGAGGAATTTCTATTCAAAACAAACAAAAATAAGGGCTTGAATAAATAAGCAGCTGTAACTTGTGATGCCTTCACCACCACAAGAGTCTCATGTTGGTTTGAGCTTCAAGACTTTCATTTAATATTGATAACAGTAAAAACGTTTGTTGTGATATTAGCGATTGGAAACTTAGAAACTTTTTAATTTTAACATCTTTTTAATTTTTATTTTATTTCAGCAAATTCAGTAAAGCTAGAAATGCAAAGTGATGATGAATATGACAGGAAGCCCCTGAGTCATGAAGATGAGATCAGAGCTCACGATGAAGGAAGCAGCCTGGAAGAGCCCTTCATTGACAATAACGAGATGGTGGATAACAGAAAGATCCAGGAGCTAGCAAGCGAGGGAGGAATCCGGCTTCCGAATGGTAAACTGAAATGTGACGTCTGTGGCATGGTTTGCATTGGGCCCAATGTGCTAATGGTACATAAAAGGAGCCACACTGGTAAGCAGCTGAAAGAAAACCTGATGACTGCCTGTGGCGTCTGATGTTGATGTTACCTGACAACTCTTCTCTCTTCCCTTTTCATTCTTGGGGTTCCAGGAGGCTGGGGAGGGGGAAAACGGGCTTCACTGGTTTTGTTCTCTTCCTGCTCTCCAAATTCTGGTGATGCTCTGTTTCTGGCAAGCATGGTGCTTCCTTGACTTTGATTTCCAGCCTTCTGTTTTTAAAAGCAGCATTAAATCTGGAAATTGCTTTTCTTACTGTTCTTGGCCAGGGGCAAGATGGTGACAGTCATTCTCTGGTATGGAAGGGGTGTGTATGTGTGCGTGTGTGTGTGCATGTGCAAGACTTTTGAGCCTTTAAGGTGAGTCTTAGATGGCCTTCCCTTGGAGGTGCTCAGGGTTGGGCAATGCCAGCAGCATCCTGAGGATCTCACACCTCATTTGCAAGTGGCTGGGCCTGGGATTAGCAAACCCCACGGGGGGCACTCATTACTCAGCCCTCCTGTTGCCAGGGTGGGCTTGCTGCTCGCTGTGTGGCGGCTCCATCAGGGAAACCTCACCTGAACCCCTGCTGGGCTCCCGCACACCATCCAGATACCATTCTGGGGCAGCTTTCAAAGCTTGCTCTCTCCCAGCATTTGTATTTTTACTACTATTAGTGTTAGTACTGTTTGGAGACCAAAACAGCTGACCAGGCTTGTGCATTTGAGTTCAAGAGGGGGACAGAACCTTTACAATGTGCTGATTGAGTGGTCTTTGGGGCTTGAAAGATGAAGCCGTGAGCTTCAGGGAATTTTTGGGGGAGTTATGGCTAATATGATACAATGGAGTGCCCAAGAGGCTGGTAGTCACTCCCCTCTGCTGAGGAGTGACCTCAGGTGGGAATGACAGTCACTTCCAACAGAAGTACAGGTGGTGCCAGAAGAGGAGGCTCTCTGGTAGTGCAGAGATCTACCTGGCAGGGCCTTGGATTCAAAAAAGCACTTAAGCTTGTTCTTAACTTTTATGAGATTTAAGCACATGTAAGTCACCTGAAGTGCTTCAATATAAGCTTAACTGAAGATACACACTTAAATCTTATTAAGTTTAAGCACAGGTTTTTGTGGTGGAGCCTCAGTGGGTGTCTGTTCTTCATATTCTTTGGACCAAGTGAAAGATGCTTTGCTTTTTATCTTTGTCTGCTATTATTTAATGGGGTCAGAGACTCACATGACTGAGATATCTGCAAAGATATAAAAAGAAAAGTGGGGGGGTTAAGGTAGAGAAAGAAAGACTTTGAGTAATTCCTTTGTAAACCTGGTAGATTGCAGTCAAGGGTGCTCTTCATGGGCAAGAAATCAATAGAATTTCTGTACAGAGAATTAATAAATATATATTACACAGTTAATGCCCTGTATATAAGTTGTATTGATAATAACTTAATATAAGTGCATAATGCAAAGCGTGGCAGTACCATTTACGATGCAGTCCTGATTTTAGACAGGAGTTACAAGAGGGGAGAAGCATTAGCTGGAGAACCAAAACCTTGATTAACAATTCGACATGCTACTGCTAGGAAATGGAAAGAGAGAATGCGGCAGACTGAGTCCCCAGCTTTCAGCCTCCCGAAAAGTTTTCCCTGGCGCTCGCACATATCCGAGCACATGTACTGCAGGTGCATCAGAGTCCACGTATCTGAACTCCAGCAGCTAAACCAGCCCTGCCAAATTTAGATTTAGGTACCTAATTAAATGGTCTGCATTTTTTTGAGATACTGGATAGCTAGTGACAAGCTGCCTTTTTGGTGTTAAAGAAGACATGTGAATTCAAAGTGAACGGAACAAAATCTCATCTGCGTGCGGGCCAGACGGCCGTGTGCGGGTGCATGGGCAGGAATTGCATAACTGGTAGCTTTTTCCTCGGGGCTACTGCTGATTCCTTGTAGAGCTCTGACTCTTTTCCCATCAGAGCAGAGGAGCTGGGATGCACTGTTCTATACAGATGATTTCAAGCATATAGAAATGGCATTTCTTTTAATGTGCAGCTCGGTGCTCTGCTCTCAGTAAACCACTTGGCAAATTTCGCAGGGGATTTTTTTACCCCCCCCCCCGCTTTGTTTGGTTTTTAATATGTGCTGCCGCTTCACTGTCCGCAAGACAAGGAGAAGTTTTCTTGGATTTCCACATCCTTGATTTTGAGGAGTATTTTTAACATATGTCTTTTAAAGTGCGGTATTTTAAAATATATTGCCACTTCCTCGGCAGCTGGGCTGGCCCTGGCTCTGGAATGAGCCCTGACCGGTGGGAAGGCTGGTTTTGCAGCCCAAGGGAGAATGGTGGAGGGAAGGGAGTTTGTCCCCAATGAGTGGAAATGGATGACGTTCTTCATCAGCTAATGCAACTGGCATGTACATCCTTACCTCTCAGAGCCAATTTAAGTATGTTTTGGGAGCTGAATCCTGCCTTACTCTCCTCTTTATTTACACACAATCAAAGCACGGTCTGGCCGGTTGTTTGCATTGGCAAAAACTGAAGTCCTTTTCCCTTCCCCGAAAACCTGTCAGCATTCTGTGTAAATCACCCAAAATCCTGTGGTCCATTGCAGAGGCTGTAATTTGCGTGTGTGCTGGGATGAGTGTGGCTTTCCTTGCACCAGGGATCCAGGCTTGGCAAGAAACTGTGCCATATGGCTCTGGCTGCACTGTGCACATCAAGGGGCACACTTTCCTCTAGCCAGTGCTCGTCTGTTCTTGAAGAGCAGTTGTCTTCCCTGCCACATTATGGTAGTTCAGTCAAACAGGCAGAGGGGTGGGGAAAATAATCTGTGCCGTGCATGAGGCCAGAGCAGAAGAGCTCAGTGTCCTGTCCCTGATTGTGACGTGCAGCTGCCCCTTCCTGTGATACAGACCAAGCTGGGGATCTCCCGTTTATCCTGCCTCGTGCACAGGGTGCAAGCGATGCTCTGGTCCACGGCACTTCTGTCATGAAACCCGTGGCACTGCTCATCTGATTCTGCCAGACACAACATTGCTCTGAAAAACTGATAATAGAGGTGAAGAGTTTTTATAACCTTCATGGGCATCAGGAGAAGGCCTTTCTATTTATTTGTCATTGCTGACAGAAAAGAAATAAAATGCTCAGTGTGGGAATTAAGCGTTATGCACTCCTTGTGCTAGTGAGCAGGGTAACCCCCTGCCTCCTGTGCCATGTCCTTGTGTCAGACAAATAGCATGTGTCAGGGTTGATTTATTTTCCTCCTTTCCCATACTATGTTCTTTTGGTCCAAATTTCCTATTCCACAGCACATTCCCCAAGCTGCAGCACCTTTATCAGAGTTTTATGTTGCAGGAGGTGGCTGGTCACATAATGTTGCCACTGGATACTCCAAGGGTTTTTGCTTGGGGATGTAGATGGAAAGGCAGAAGAAGATAAGGTCAATAATCCAGATTTTTGAGGTAACAAGAAGGAACTTTAGTGATTTCTCACCTCTTTATGCCTTCTGCTAGTGGGCCGGAATTAAAATTTCCTTGCTCCTTGTTTTTGGTAAAGCAGAAACCATTTGCTGGTACAGCCGTGCTGCTGCTACTGTGATCTGCAAGGTCCACACATTGTTCTCCCTTGTGCTGTGAATTTTCATCTTTCTTTATATTTTTTTTTTCCTCCACTGTAGTATCCAGTCCTTCATCTAATCCACTACTGGATTTTGAAATACTTTTTGTTTTTAAGGGAGGACTGGGATCACAGAATCTCAGATTGGTTTGCGTTGGAAGGACATTAGCACATCTCGTTCCAACCCCCTGCCATGGCAGGGACACCTTCCACTAGACCAGGTTCCTCCAAGCCCCATCCAACCTGGCCCTGGACACTTCCAGGGACAAGATATCGACAACTTCTCATCTCAGTTGTTTTAAAAACACCCAGAGGTGAAATGCTGTCTCTGTGTGGATGTGGCGGGTGAGCAGCAGAGCCAAGCCAGGTCCCTGGGTACCGGGCACGGAGCCACTGGGGAGGTCGGCCTTGCCCCACTCTCACCTTGGGCTGCTGGTAGGTTATTTTAGGCTTTTTTGGGGGGTGTTAACTGCAGGAGGGTCTCAAATCTTTGCTTGGACTCAACATGCACTTTAGTACCTAAGTCAGTTAAATGAGTTATGTGCCCATGAGGGAAATCTCCAAATTCTGTCGTGGTGTCCACAGTGTTATAACTGAACACACACAACCCCTGGAACTCTGAATGCAATTTGTTTTTTCATGCAGAGCTCAAGCTTTTGGGACGCAATTAATAAATGAGGAGAAACCCAGCTGTGCTGTTCAGCATTAAAGACTTGTATGCCTAAAGCAGCTAACCAGGAACAAATTTAAACAAATGGCCATATTAACACATTGCAGAGAACTCCATTGGACTGCCTCTCTTACTTTGTTCATAGAAGGGTTATATTTGGTTTAATTTCTAATTTGTCACCTCCTGTAGGCTTCCTGTCTCTTGCGATGTGAATCGATTTGGCACTGAATCAAAAATCATAGGGCTGAATTTCTGAAAGTCATATTTTCTACTTAGGTTTTGAAATCTAACCTTTTGAAAAGCCTCATTTTCTACTTAAGCAGGAGGAAGGGGAGCTGAGATTTTTGAAATCGCTCTCTGCAGAAGACACTTTTTGCTTGCAGCACTCAGTAACTAAACTCTTCTGGTATTTTTGCCCGTTCACTCAGAAGATGTTTCTGCCTTAAGAATGCGGTCATAAATTTGTGCAGAGGACACTTGGAAATCACCCAGGATTGCCCAGGAATTTTTCATGAGAGATTTTGTCTCTACTCTTTTACAATAAATTACCATATCTGCCAGTAGGTTTTCCCCAACAAAAAACCCTACTAAAATCGCTGATTTCCAGTGATGTGCAGCCTGCTAAGTGAATCAGATAGAACAGTAAGCAGGAATGCAGGCTAGCTATGGTCCCTGGAATAACAAATACAGGAATGGGGCAAAGTCTGCTGCTCTGTGTCTCACTCGGGTACAGGCAGGTTGGAACTGGCTGCTGTCAGTGTGTTGGGAGCACAGCTGATACTTCGTTTGTGCTCCTGGGACAGAGCAGAACCGCAGCAGCTGCAGCATCTGATGGATCAGGAGAAATGTTTTGTTTTAACTGAATATTAACAAAAAGGATGCTACAGAAAGGTGAAAATCAGTACTATTAGTAAGAGCAAATACTTTCTGATGGCAGCATGGGCACAGTGATGTGATGTTAAGAGACTGGAAAGAAAAAATCCCGTTTGAGAAGTACTTAAGCTATACTTTGCACATCAAAAGTATGTGCCACACAAAAAAGACTGAGATCTCAGATATGCATTTAGCCAGGACAGATGCTGAAGTCCCACTGGACCTGGTTTTTATGTAGAAGGACTGCTGCTTTAGGAATAACTAGGCCTTGATGATAATGAGAACTAGTGCAGTAATTTGTGAGTCTCTCCATTTAATTTCAAAGGGACAAAAGTTACCAGTCAAGGGTTATGAAACTCTTAAGTCTTCTTGGTCTGTGGGCTCTGTATCATCAGTCAGATTTCTGTTTTGATACAGAAAATATTGCTGCTTTGCACCAAAAATATCAGTGTTTTGCACTGGTCTGAGGTTCGAAGAAGGGTAACTCATACTGAAACTTCTGCGCAGCACTTCCGTGCCGGGGCGGGAAAGGAGTTGTTGTGCAGGGAAGCTTCCAATTAAGCAGAAAAAGGAGTTGGGTTGCTTTTCAAAATACCGTTTGACATATGTGAAATCAATTAGTAGGAATTTAACAGTTCATTTGCCTGGTTTCAGGTCTTATCAGCCAGACAGCGCTCACAGCTTGTGCTGTGAAGTCTCCCACAGATGCCATACGGGTTTAAACACTACGAAAGGCCCGTGTCTTGCTTGCCCTGACTTCGTGTGTCCAGCTCACCTTTCATCTCACAATTTGTTTACACAACAGCAAGTTAACTGTGTACTTTAGATACCGGTGTAGCTTAAGAGTAGTAATATTTCATTAATATTATTCATTGTTCTTGTTCCTGGAGGAGACAATGAACTGCGAGGTTTCTGCAGTATTTTACTTGATTTAGAGGTAAATATTTGAAATCATACCTTTTAATTGATATTTTATTGTAAATGTAAAATTTATGTAAAATTATAAAATTTATGTAACATGTAAAATTTATGTAACGTTATAAAACCCCATGGAAGTATTTATTTATTAATGTAACTATTCCCTGGCACAAGCCCCTCTTGCAAAGCCCTTAGGAAAGGTAATACTTGGCAGCTCTGTTTTACCTTGCCTTGCCCATTCCTGAAGTAACTTTAGATAATTAAATTCCCTATGTTGGAGAGCAAGGCTTTTAAGGCATTCCTGGTTTTGTCCGGCTTTAGATTCTAAATCTGGAGTTGAAAAGAAACATCTCTTTTGTTTGGTTAGCTGTTCCTCCCCCTCTCGCCACCCTGAAAGTCTTTTTCCTTCCTCCCCCCCCCTTTTTTTTTTTGTCTCTTTTTTTTTTTTTTTTTAATCACTAAGGTTGGAGGCTTTTCTGCCCTGGTTCAGCTCAATAATCCAGAAATGTTTAATACTTAAAGTAGACTAAAAATATTTTGCAGTTATTTTTGCAGTCACAATAGTTTTTAGTGCTGAAAAGCAAAAAAACTCTCTTGGTCACCTTTCAGTGGACTTCTTATTTTAATAAATCAGTGTAAGTGTATAGAGTCAAGCAGTAAATACGTAGCTGTAAATGGTGGGAAATGCACTGTGCCTGTAATCGTTGTTACCCTCTTGTAGTCGTGTGTGCCACCTTTAACAGGTCTAAGTTTTCTGGTGTGTCTCTGCTACCATCACCCCCAAAGACAGGGAAGCATTTTAAACACAGTCAGGGACTGTCACGTAGAGAAAAAATGTGCTTAAAGACTTCTTGTGAGTGGATGTTTAGTTTGAAGTACGACTGATTTTAGCTTATGAAACTCTTTGGTTTTCACAGAAGAGTAAGGGAGGTAAGGACATTATTTTGTAACTAGGAAGTAATAATAGTGGAGAACAGCTTACAAAGTTACTAGGAAAAGGCAACAGGAGAAATAATTGGAAGACAGTCTTCTCAGGGCATTGAAGTGATAAAGAAGGCTTGTTTGCTAGTGTCTGGAGTGGGCATCAGACAGCACAGTTCTTGGAACACCAACAAAATCATCTTGCTATTCAGTCTTTGCTTCTCTTTGTGCACTCTTCTATTGGATAATGGCCTCTCAGATTAGCTGTGCTAAATGTAAAAGCTGCTAATCAATAGCACGAAGGTGTGACCAAAATTGCATCCCACAAGCCTGCAGCTTAAACAAGGAGCTGGAATCGAATGATTGGACAAAAGTGTAACAAACAGATCAAAGCAGCTATTTACCCGGAATGAAGCCAGTAGGAAAAATGAATTCATGCTGGCTTTAAATAGATGCAAAGGTTATTTAAGGTAAAATGTGCTGTTGGAGTCTCTTGCGAGAGAGGAGCAGACCATGGGTGATTTTGTGATGACTGTTTTCATGTCATCTCGGCCACTGAACTGTGTTGCAGCGACTGTTGAATTGCAGGCTTTCAGCATCTTTTGAGCAGCCAGTTTATTGAGGAGTAATACCCGCTCGTGTGGGGCCTCCAGAGTGTCAGGGTAAAACACAGTAACTGCGTAGTTTTACATACAGCAGGAGTAAAAGGAAAGACTTCAGATTTGATAAGAAACGTGCTGCCTTCTTTCATGTTGTCATCCTGAAACTGTAGCTATCATTCCAGAATACTCAGAAACGTGTCAAAGGAAAGGGCTTTGCCTATTTTCTCAGACAGTGAAAGCAAAACAGAAAAGAAGAAAAAACCCATGTATTTTTCTACTGCAGTTTCTGTACATATCTCTGTTATGGACATTCTCAAGTGATATAAAAGAAGATAATGGCTAATCAGATCCTTTAAGTATAGTGTGGGAGTTTGAAAGGGAAACCACAAACTCTTTATCAATTCTAATGAGTTTGTGTTCAGTGTATTGGAAGAAGAGCTTTATACCGTGATTTATTTTTTTTTATCATTACTCTGTAATATTCTTGGTGAGATTGTAGGAACCTTGGTATTTTCTTGAGTGCTTCTTCAGTAGTCTCAGATGTGATTGCCAGCTCCCACCTGTGAAGTCACATTGCAGAGGTATGGCACATACATGTCACACCTACCTTCTGCTGCCCTCCTGGCAGTGATTTAAACCACTGAGGCAAGAATTGCTTATGGACATCTGTAAGAGCTCTTTTCCTTCCTCTCTTTCCATTTGAATCTCCAGACATATTTTGCACTTCACATTAGACACAAGAACTACTTTGATAAAAGTGTTTTGTCCAGCGAGGGAGTAATCATTTCGAAGCAGTTGATAAAGGCTTTGAAGAGATGTGAAAGATCACAGAACGTGTTTGTTTTTCACAAGATCTGTGCTTCAGGCCATCGAATCCAACCTCAGAAGTCCCACTGGGATTCAACCAAGGCTCCATAATAAGTGATGCACTGAAAAAGTGGACAAGGCTGCTTAAATCTGAAATCTGATGCTCAAGACCTTGTAGAACTGGGGCCCTACTTGGTCGAAGAGAATAGATTTAAATTAGATTAGGAAACACTTCTTCCCTGTGAGGGTGGGGAGGCCCTGGCACAGGTTGCCCAGAGAAGCTGGGGCTGCCCCATCCCTGGAAGTGTCCCAGACCAGGTTGGACAGGGCTTGGAGTAACCTGGGCTAGTGGAAGGTGTTCCCTGCCCATGGCAGGGGGTTGGAACTGGATGATCTGTGATGTCTTTTCCAAACCAAACCATTCAGTGATTCGGTGTTCTAAAGCCCAGCTGCAATAAAGCACTTGGGCAAGTGGCAGCACAAGTAAATGCTTGTGTTCAGTTATTTGCTCAAACAGGACATAAGCAGATGATTAGAGCTGCCTAAGAATGCTGGAACAGTCTGAGTGTCCTCAGCAAATGAAAAGATTTCACAAAACCTGTGCGAGTGTCAGGGGTTTTCCTCTAAAAAATAATTACAAAAAAAAAAATGTTTTATCAGCCCAGTCCCCACTGCCTAGAGGAAACATGAAGGTTTAACATAAAAATAAGCTCTGGATGTGTGTGTGTGCGCATGTGTAAACACATGGGGTGAAGGGAGAGGGCAAGGTCTAGAGTTTCTGTTATTTTTTCATCAACTGAGTCTTTTTAATTTGTTTTATGTGGAGTGCAAACTTGCTTGTTTCACAGTTTAATGGTGAAAGATTTTTCTCAATGTTTGCTTCTGCCCAGAGCTTGTGGGCCTGATCCTCACTTGTATCGATTCCCTTCATGCCACTCTAGCAGTGCAAAACAGCCTTTAAAAAGGACTTCCAATTAAAGTATAATGCAGGCAAGGGCTTTGTTTTGAAGCAAGGTCCAATTGTTATGATCAGTTCCAAATACTTATGTGGATTGGACCTATACTGAAAATAAGCGCAAACCCAGAGATAAATACTGCGAAATCAGAATTACGGATCTAAATTTTCAGCAGAGCTCATCTTTTATAAAGGATAGAACCTCTGAGGTGAGGAACTTTCAAGAAAATCAGGCTGCACTGATCACCTCAAGTAAAGATGCTCAAGTCCCTATTGGAGGCTTTGCCCATTGTGCAAAAGAAATGGCCTCCGACTGTAGCAAGTGCCGTGTGATGGTGGCAGTGGGGACTGTACCCATGTAAGAAGGCACTACTACAAAGAGCAGGATAATGGCCTCTGTGCATCCTCTGATGTGTCTTGACAGCTCTCTCCCTTCCCCTTCCCTTCCAGGTGAACGCCCCTTCCACTGTAACCAATGTGGAGCTTCTTTTACCCAGAAGGGGAACCTGCTGAGGCACATCAAGTTGCACTCTGGGGAGAAACCGTTCAAATGTCCCTTCTGCAGCTACGCCTGCCGGCGGAGGGACGCCCTCACAGGACACCTCAGGACGCACTCGGGTGAGCCCACCTTGGCTTCTCTTCCCAATTCTTCCTTCCTTTGTCACTACCGTCCCAGTGAAGCAGGTAGTGAAAATAACTGTGTGTTCCTGGTGGCTCTGGGTCTGTACCATCCTCCTCAGATAGTGCAGCTCTCCGCTTTGGGAAAGCCTTGATGTGAATCAGAAAAGTTGTGGTTCAGCCACACCTCTCCTTTTGTGTAACTGAGCTCCTCTGCTGATGCTATCACATTTCCCTCTGAATGTCTCCTTGGGTGTATCCAGGCTCCCCTGGCAGATTGTTTTGATACTCTAGGCCCCAAAGTGGCTGTGAAATTCCAAGGATCACAAAGGATAACTGTGGGCTCTTGGAAGCCGGCTTTGCAGTTCGTACCCATTTCTTCATCTAATAAATGCCATATGCTGGTGGAGGTCAGACTTGTTCATCTTTCAGAAACCTCCGAATTGCATTTTTGGTTCAGTTACATCTTGCTATAGAGTCCTAATTCATGGCAGCCGCTGCCACTCACCCTAGAGCCGAAGGTGGTCGAGAGAGATTGGGTTTCTCTTGCCTTGTTCAGTGATAGTATCTTGTCTAAATCAAGTCTACTTGATACAGTTTCTTGATATGTTGCAAAGAAGTACCCGCCACGTAACTGCCCACTGGTAGTCACGTTGGAGCTCCCATGATCAGGATCAGATGTGGTTTTAGTCCCTGTACACTGCACCGAGGGGCTGCAGTCTGCCCACTTACTCATCTGGGTAGGACTCCTGAGTAAGATCTTAACTTGCTGCGCGTTTTATCTCCTAGAATGTTCAACTTGTGTGTTCAGGCCATTTATAAGGGGCTGTGTTTTTCATTGTTGAATGAGCAGAGATAATTGGACTGGTTACAAGTGACAGCATTACAGATGAACTTCTTTGAGGTGTTAGCAAACGTGTGACTGCTGAAACGCAGTGGTTGAAGTGTAGCTGGCAGACAGAAATCCTGCATGAGCTTCCTGACTCTTCCTAGGTATTTCTCCAGCAGGGTCAACCTCACTTCATTAGAAATTTCTGTTTTATGAGCATTAAGTTGGACTTAGGGTACGGAGTTGCCTTGACATTTCCAGGAATAGGAAAGGATAAGCTAATAAGCTTCTCCAGGTAACCTGGGGAGCATGCAGGAGGCTGTGTTGATGGAAAATGCTGACAGAAAGCATGAGCATCCAAGGGAGTGCAGGTGTGGGAGAGAATTGCTTAAGTTTTCAGCTGGGAGGATTTGGTCTGGAAGTCAGAAGGGAAAATGTCTGTGAAAGTGTGAGGTGCAGTTTTCACACGTCTGACCATAACTGTAGTTTCAACTTGAAATTTAATAAAAAACCAGAACACAATAAAAATGTTCCCAATTAAAATCAAAATGGAGTTGTGACAAAAAGTATCCCCCATTACAAAACATAAACATTGCAGTTGAAGATGTTTTCGTAATATGAAGATGAATTTTGTTACCTAGGTAGTGTCATTAATAGAGATTGTTCTTGCTGTATGAAAAGCACATGGCTGATGGCTCCACTTTTTTGCGTGAGGATGAAATGTAGAGGTGCGGGATTTTCCGAAGGCACCTAAGCTGCTTAGCACACGAATTCCCCTGGAGCTCCTTCCCTAAGTGACTTAGCTCACTGACTTAGCTGTGCTCAGCGCTGCTCAGTTTGTAATTTTATGCTTTGTTTTCCGTGGAGAAAGTGTCACCCCCTGAGCACTCAGCTACAGCAGCTTTCAGCAGAGGGCCGGCAGGAACAGACTGGTGTTCCCCAAATACTCCTCAAGGCAGTTCTTAGAGTAGAGCTCACAGGGGAAGAGTTAAAACTTGGATTATTGCCCTAAAACCTGAGGTCTACGTGAAAGTGAAATGCCACTCTGGACTTTCTGTCCCTGCCATATAGACAAGCTGAGTTGGCTTCTCCACACCTGTGTGATTCTGGATCATGGAAAAGATGGGCAGATGTTCCCTAGAGACTTAAAACAGTCTCAGATCAGTGTAGTGTACAAGCACTCTCTGCTTTAATAAAGCACACGTCAAGGTCTGTAAGGAGGCCTGGAAGGTACAGCAGATACAGTAACTGCGCTGAAGGTCTTTTCCAGCCTAAATAATTCTATGGTTCTGTCAGTGTTTACATCTTCTGCTGCTTCTGATCAGAAAAGAAGATATCAGATAAAGTATAGAAAGAAGAGGTTGAAAAGAGGAGAGCTCTATAGATCAGATCCTCAGCTGATATCAACTGGAATTACATCCCCTAAGCAGGAAAGTACTTCTGTTTTGCACCAGTTGAGAATCTGGCACATATCATCATAACTGCATAACATTTTTTTTAATGTTGTATATATGTCCTTTTCTTCCTTGTATAGGAAAGTGCTATTAATAAAAAAGTTAGAACAAAACCAAAAAACAACCAAACAAAAAAAACCCCACCAAAGCAAAACTCTTTTCTCCTTCCCAGGAACATCTTAAACTACTATGGAAGGCAAATTATGCAAGAAAGGAATGGAAGAATTTTGTTAGATCCTCTTTTTTTTTTTTTTCTCCCAGCTGGTTTGATTTGTGGATTTTAGAACATTTTGTGTCACCACTTAAGTCAGTGACAGCCTCTCACTGTTGCTAGTTAGTTTTTCCTGTTCTTAATGAATAGTTTTCATATAGTACAATAGGAAAGGTGAAAAAATAAGGAAATGTAATTGCAAACAGAAATTAGCAGAAGCATCTCTGAAATATCTCAAATAGCTGATACTACCCGTTAACTTGAAAAAAAAAAAATTATAGCTTTTTTTTGTGGTTGCTTTGGATGGATGTTTTGTTCATGCTTTTTCATACTAATTCCTATTTATTTGGATATGTTTCTAAGCATCTCAATCTACATTTTGCCTCCCCTTCTCGTGCAGAATAATATCTTACTGATTGAGTGTTCCCAGGACGAGTGGTTAACAAAATATTGCTCCGCATCTGTAATGCTGCTGCTGTTTAACCCTATATAATTAAGGACTTATCTTGCAGTGATTTACTCCTGCAATTATTTACCTTTTACAGACATATGGAGTTCTGATGAACTTTGTGTCTGTATTTTCCTCCCACATGCAGCTGCTTTGATTTCAGGAGTATAATGATGCCTCCAGGACATAGTAGGGTAATGCCTGGGGAGAGATTCATGCACAGAATTACACTAAGAGTGGGCATGAACCTCAAGGTACTTACAGGACTTTCAGATGTTGTTTTCAGAATTAACTCCATAGTTCCCCAGCACAAATAACACAGGAGGGGTGCCCGAGAGGCTTCCAGGACAGGAATGTAAGGACGGGCTGTGGAGAGCTGGGGCAGAAGTTGGTAGTCCCCTCCCACAGGAAAAACCAGCGGGGATTGGCTTTGCCTTGCCTGTTTTTGCTGGTTTTTAAAGAGTGAAACATCCAGGCAAATCCAATCTGCTGATGGCAGTCACGGAGTATCTGCTGTCTCACCCTGAGACATGCCCATCTTCTCCATCCTCTCTGGAATTACCCAGGACAAAGGCAGATACAAACTAGAGGAGACAAATTCTGCTGCAGGCAATTAGTGAGCATACCCCGGAAATGTAAGAGAGACAGCTGATCTGACAGGTCAGTCTGATGGCTAAAGCACCCACATGTTGACCTCCATACTTTGAGAGATATGAAGTACAGCCTGATGCTGTCTTACCTCAAAAAGCCAGACATCCTCAAATGGGCACATAAAGTTAACAGCGATGTTTTGACACGGATTTCTCTTGTGTTTAAAGCAAAGCCAAATCAGCTCTCCCCCCATAATGCTGTTGTAAACATAAACAAGGCTTTGACAGTACTTGGGAAAGTCAGGGCTGCAGTGATGAGCAATCTGGAAGAGCCCACAGCAAACATGAGTGCCTTGGTTTTCAGAGCAGGGCTTGGGCACTAAGTTGTAAATGAGGGATGTGGTCACTTGTTAAGGGGAAAAAAACTCCACAGAATAAGTTTTGATTAAGCAAGAACTATCCATCCATTGCACTCAGCGAGGATGGTCCTGTGGGCAAATTGTTTTGTCATTAAAAGACTGTCTTGTTATGTGTACACACAAAATGGCCACATGAACCTTAATTCTGGAATTTCCTGGTTTTCCTTTATTACCTTGGTAGCTTCAGTCGTGTTTCGTTACTGTGGGAGTATGTAAGTTTTATTCATATATGAAAGCAGTTTTACCGTTTATTTCTTTCTAAAAAAACAGGTAGTCAGATCATTATTTTTTCCTGCCACAGAAGCTTTTCCTCACAATGCATTTTAAAATTTGCTTCCAAGCTACTTCTTTCCTCCTTAGAAAATGCTTTTTTCTCCTCCCTTTTTTGCTTTTAGCAAATATTTACTTTTTCCTCCCCACTTCATCCTGCATTGGTTGTTTGCTACTGCCCAGTTCTTCAATAGCACTGAGCTAATGGTACCACTTTATTGGCAAAAGAAAAGCAGAAATGATTTGTTTTGAAAAGAAAGGCTTAGGCAAAAACTCCCAAAAGCACAATCTTAGCAAACTCTGTACAGCGTGCAAGATAAAAGGCATGTCTAATTAAAAAGGAGAATGCCCTGTTCGTGGAAACTCTTTCCATGTTTCTTGATTTGGAAGTCCATCTTTCTCATCTCTTCTAGTGCTTAAGGACTGTCCTCCCAGCCCCTCCTGGGTGGCAGTGAGCCCTTCGAGGTGTCCCCTCACGCCTGGAGTTGTGTGGCAGAGCTGGAGAGTGATCTCTGTGTGTGCAGATGTTCCCAGAGCTAGAAGGAACCTGTTTCCTAACCCTGATGACATGCCTGCCTCGATGCATGTTTGGGAGAGTCATCCCACCTGTGAGTGGGTCTGGAAAATTGGCTGAACAAGTGTCAGAATTCACAATGCTGTGTGTGAATTCCCGACTGTGAAAAGCCAGTGAGAATTACTGAAACAGTGGCAAGGATGGTTATTAAGAATAATGAAGAGTCAATGTTTTAACCTGCTTTTTTTTTCATCTTGAGGAGATT